CTCTCCACAGCAAAATGGGATTGCTGAGCGCCGCATTGGCATGGTCATGGACGTCGCCCGTACGTCCATGATGCATGCGGCTGCCCCCCATTTTCTGTGGCCGTTTGCGGTTCGGTACGCGGCGCATCAGATCAACCTTCAGCCCAGGGTCTCCATGCCGGAGACCTCCCCAGCTTTGCTGTGGACGGGGAAGGTTGGCGATGCGTCTGCGTTCCGTGTCTGGGGATCTCGGGCGTTTGTCCGCGACTTGTCTGCGGACAAGCTGTCCCCTCGTGCTGCTCCTTGTGTCTTCCTTGGCTTCCCCCCTGACGCGCCAGGGTGGCAGTTCTACCACCCCACCTCTCGCCGTGTTCTGTCCTCCCAGGACGTCACGTTTGACGAGTCGGTCCCCTACTACCGCCTCTTCCCCTACCGCACTCCGTCCCTCCCCCCGCCACCGCTCTTCCTTGTGCCAGGTCCCCCCCCGGTAGACCCCCTTCCCCCTCAGGGTCCTGCCCCTTCAGGTGTGTCCCAGGTAGACGCAGTCGAGCCTGTCGAGGTTGCTGGTGACTCTGTTGCTGCTAAGGGTGCTGAGCCTGGGGGTGCTGACTCTGGGGGTGCTGAGCGTGTGGGTGCTACGCCTGGGGGTGCTGAGCCTGAGGGTGCTACGACTGGGGGTGCTGAGCCTGGGGGTGCTACGCCTGGGGGTGCTGAGCCTAGGGGTGCTACGCCTGGAGGTGCTGAGCCTGGGGGTGCGGAGCCTGAGGGAGCTGGGCCCGCTCGCGTGGCGTCTGGCGGTACTGTGCCTGGAGGTTCTCCGGGTGCTTCGTCTCGGCGGGAGCCACTCTCTCCACACGAGCTGCGCGAGTGGTTTGCCCGGCGGTGGAGGCGTGCTGCTGGAGCTGGAGGTTCTTCGGCTGCTGAGGGTGCTGGTGCCGCGGGTCCCGGAGGTGCTCGTACTGGGAGTACTGGAGCTGCTGGGCCTGCGGGTACTACTGGAGCTGGTGCCACTGCGTCTTCTCGTGGTCCGACTGGAGCTGGAGCTACTGAGGGTGTTGGCGCTGAGGCTACTGCTGTCGGTCCTGGAGGCGGTCCTGCTGGGGGTGCTACTGGTGCTGCTGGAGGTACTGGAGCTGGAGGTGCTGCTGGCGCTGGTGCTACCACTGGGGGTACTGGTGCTGTCCCTGCTGTGTCTGGAGTCGCTGCGCGGCCTCGACCGTACTTCGTTCCGCTCCTTGAGCAGGTTCTTGGTCTCCTTCTACTGTTCCTCCTCCTCCCTTAGAGAGTCCACAGCCTGTCCCGTCACAGTTACAGTTACAGCCGGCCTCCCCACTGCCTGCTCCTTCTCCCTACACTGGTCCTACTGGAGGTCTTGCTGAGCGTCGTGAGCCTGCGTCTCGCCCTGCGTCGCCTGTCCGTGCTGCTCGCACTAGTGGTCGTGGTTCGCGTCAGCGTCCTCCTCCTGTCCCTAGCACGCACCGGATGTCTCTGCGTCCGTCCACTGCTCCTCTGCGTGCCCCTTTGCCTTCTCCTCCTGAGTCCTCTCTTCCTGCTCTTCCTGACCCTGAGTCGGACTCTCTTCGTGCTGCCAGTCCTACTGTCACGCGTCTCCTTGCTACTGTTGTCACTGACCCTTCCTTTGAGTCCACTGCTGCGTCTGCCCTAGTTACTGAGCTCGTCGACTTTGCTGCTCGCTGTCGTCTAGACTACGCTGCTAGTCTTGTTGCTGAGTCTGAGTCTGTCTGTCCTCCGTCCGTCGGGGGTGAGTGTGCCCTTGGCACGGACGTCCTTGAGGACAGGCAGGAGGAGTTCCAGTGTTTGGCTGCTGCTTCACCTCATCTCGTGTCCGTACTGCTTACCCGTGAGGGAGACCCGGATGCACTTGACATCCCGACTCCGCGCTCTTACGCGGAGGCGATAGAGGGTCCCTACTCCTCTCAGTGGCAGGCAGCTATGGACGCAGAGATGGCTTCCTGGAAGTCCACAGGCACCTACGTTGACGAGGTTCCCCCACCTGGGGCGAACATCGTCAGTGGCATGTGGATTTTCAGGGTGAAGCGGCCGTCGGGTTCTCCGCCTGTCTTCAAGGCGCGTTACGTGGCTCGTGGCTTCAGTCAGCGGCAGGGAGTTGACTACTTTCAGACCTTCTCTCCCACCGCGAAGATGACCACTCTTTGGGTACTGCTGCACATAGCTGCTCACCGTGACTACGAGTTGCACTCTCTTGACTTCAGCACTGCTTTCTTGCAGGGCAGCCTGCACGAGGAGATCTGGCTGCGTCGCCCACCTGGCTTCACTGGGTCTTTTCCTCCTGGCACCCAGTGGAGCCTCCGGCGGCCAGTCTACGGTCTCCGCCAGGCACCGCGTGAGTGGCACGACACACTGAGGACTACACTTGTGGCTCTTGGGTTTGCTCCCTCTACTGCCGACCCGTCGCTGTTTCTGCGCACCGACACTTCTTTGCCGCCGTTCTACATCCTCGTGTACGTCGACGACTTGGTCTTTACCACAGCTGACACTGCTGGACTCGCCCACGTGAAGTTCGAGCTGCAGAAGAGACACACGTGCACAGACCTGGGTGAACTGCGCAGCTACCTTGGCTTGCAGATCACCCGGGACAGAGCACGCCGCACCATTACCCTGACTCAGTCACACATGGTGCAGCAGGTCCTTCAGCGCTTCGGCTTCACGTACTCCTCGCCTCAGGCCACTCCTCTGCCTACTCGCCACTCGCTCTCAGCTCTGCCTTCGGATGAGTCCGTAGAGTCGAGTGGCCCGTACCCAGAGCTTGTTGGCTGCCTCATGTACCTGATGACTTGCACAAGACCTGACCTTGCATACCCTCTTAGCATTCTCGCACGCTATGTTGCTCCTGGGAGACACAGACCGGAGCACATGGCTGCAGCGAAGAGGGTGTTGCGCTACTTGTGCAGTACGTCGGGCATGGGGCTTGTGCTTGGAGGGCAGAGTCCAGTGGTCCTCACTGGGCACGCAGATGCTTCTTGGGCTGACGACCAGGCTACGCAGCGGTCGTCACAGGGTTACACCTTCAGCCTTGGTTCCGGCTCTGTTTCGTGGCGGGCTACCCGCTCGTCCTCTGTTCTCGGCTCCAGTTGTGAGGTTGAGATCTACGCAGGAGCCATGGCTGCACAGGAACTTCGCTGGCTCACCTACCTGCTTACTGACCTCGGAGAGTCGCCTCGTTCTCCTCCAGTGCTTTACGTAGACAACAAGGCCATGCTGGCCTTGTGTCGGGAGCAGAGACTGGAGCACAGAACAAAGCACATTGCTCTTCGCTACTTTCTTGCTCGTGAGCTACAGCAGCGTGGTTAGCTGCGCCTTGCGTACGTGGCCTCTGAGGCCAACACTGCTGATATCTTCACCAAGGCACTTGCGCCTTGTGATCATCAGCGCTTCTGTACTCAGCTTGGTCTTGTGCCTGCCTTGCCTCACTTGCTCACCCCTTGACCTTGTTTGTACTGTTACATATATATATACACCTGCTCTTGCTTGTCTAGCCTTATATATATGTAATCCTGCATGTGAACTGGCCTTCTGGCCTTGAACTTGTGCTCGGAATGTGTGGTGACTTTGTGATCCACCCTGAGCTTGCCTTGCTTTGCTTGACTGGTCTTGTGACCCCTTGTTCTCCCCCACTTTGCCTATGGGGGTGTGTCAGATTTATATGACATAGCTGCTGTAGGCTATAGTGGGGTAGCACATATGGGGTACAGTTTTCTAGGGTTTGCACTTGTACCCAACTTTCCCTTAGTCAAACATGATTTTTCCTCGTAATTTCTCACCCCCCCCCTCGTATTAGTTATTCGGTGGTGTTGTATTTTGGGGGGGGTCTTCTATCCGGGGGAATACGGTAGGTCTGCTAAGTGCTGTTGCTTGTCCCGGCTGTAAACTAAAATGTTGTGGAGGTAAAATATGACGCATTTATCTAAAAATTGCCTAAATGCCTCGTTCATCGTCATTTGAAATGTTGCGGCCGCATTGGTGAGTCCGAACGGCATTTCTGTGTACTCGAAAGACCAGTACCTAGTTCTAAAAATTGTTTTGGCGCAGTCCGTCAGTTCGACTCTAATCTGGTGGTAACCGCCGCGTAGGTCGATTTTCGAGAACACCCTAGCTGTTCGCAGTTGGTTGATCAGTTCAATCATCGCCCGCCCACTCAATTGCACTCATAAGATTTGCTAAACCCTAAACCAATCAGATTTGTTCGATCTGTTCAAACACTCTCAATGAAACAGCGCAAACTTGTCGGTTTGGTTTGAAATTTGTTTCGCTCGACAAGCTCTCTTTCAAGCTGGAGTCGGGTTCACTATTTTGCATTTCGGTTCTAAAGAGATGTAATTTTTTTTTGGGGATATATTCTAGTTATGATGCAACCTTGTCGAAATCACGTGGTGGCGTGTTCTTGTAAAGCGGAACCGCTGAGCAGGAGTCGTCCACGTAGAGACGCACGCTGACGATGTCCAGCACAGCAAGTGCCAGTACCACGGCGGGCTGGTTTCATCTCGGTTCGGAGCACAGTGGCGCGTGGCAAACCGTACAGCCTGGAGCTTTGGTTTGGTTAGGAGCCTCTCCGTTCCAACCAAGACCCACCCAAGCTCAACTTGAACAACTGTACTACGCTCGAAAACAACTCAAAACGACAAAAGAATTGCAATACGAGTATTGCAATATGAATATTACTACTGGGTAGAGTTAGTTCAACGCGACACTAGCTTACAGGGGCACGTTGTCTCCTAGTCGCCCTACTAGTACTCTAAGAGTTACTAAGGCTCGCGACACGTACTGAACGCAAAACAGAGGCTACAATTGCGGGCTGGCTATAAAAGTCATGGCGCCAACAGGAAAGAGGGTACTAGTTGCTGTTGACAAGTCTGAAGGTATGCTCCCATGTCTCCTCAGGGACCATCTCGCGTGCCACCTTCAGCATACCGGGCTTCATGTGGCACATTCAATGTGCGACTCCCCGAAGCTTGTTGGCCGTTTCGTACCTGAGTACTCCAATGCTCTCGGGTCCGCAGTCGAGCTCTCTCCTGGCGTCTCGTTTGCCCCATTACTCTCGCCTCCATTACTCTCGCCTCCATTACTCTCGCCCCCATTACTCTCGCCTCCAAGACTGTCACTTACCCTTGCCTCCATTCCACGGCACAACCCTCCCCTCCATTTCCCATTTCTCTCGTCAATCCTAAAAAAAATGTCGTTGCGTCGCCACCTTACAATCCTCTACCCTCCTTTCTACTCGCCCGCTCTCCTCTCCCCCCCCACCATCTCCTCCCCTAATCTCCCCTCCTCTCCCCTCTCCTCTCCTCCACTCCACTTCCCCCCCTCCCCTTCCATTTTCCTCTCCCTTCTCCACTCTCCCTCGCCCTCTCCTCTCCCCGTTCACTCTCCCTCTCTCCTCTTCCAACTTCCTCTTACCCTCCTCTCCCCCTCGCCTCTTCCCTCTCCTCTCCTCCTCTCCTGTGTCCCTGCTCCCATCCCCTCGCCCATGCCTCTCCCCCCCCCGCCGCGACTTTCTAGAGGGCTCGCACGCGTTCCAGTGGTCGCTCGCCAACCTCGCTGCTGACTCCGACGCGCTGCTCCTCCTGCACGTGCGACCGCCTGTCGTGAGTGCCATGCCGTGTGTAACACACCTGCTGCAGCACTTGCTGCACATCTGTATCACCTGTCCCTCGAACCCTCCCGTCCCTTCTCATGGCCTTTCCCCCTACTCCCCCTTCTTTCCCCACCGTTTTTGCTGCTACTCCCTCTGTACCCACTTACATTTCCTCCCATTGTGCCACCGTCTGTTGTCTTCCACCATCCGCTACCGCCCGTTGCCACCCACAGGCGGAGATGTTTGACCGCGAGAGCATCTACCTGGCGAGCGAGGAGGTGTACGCGCTGCAGCGACAGCTCCAGGCGGAATCTCAGCAGCTGCTGGACGACCTTGCGCAGGCTGCCAGCAGGGAAGGGCCCGAGGTGAGGGGGGAGCGGGGAGGGGATGCATGGGAGGCTGGGGCGCGCTGAAGCTGCTGCTGAAGTTGCTGCTGCTGCTGCTGCTGCTGCTGCTGAAGTTGCTGCTGCTGCTGCTGCTGCTGCTGCTGAAGTTGCTGCTGCTGCTGCTGAAGTTGCTGCTGCTGCTGCTGCTGCTGCTGCTGAAGTTGCTGCTGCTGCTGCTGCTGCTGCTGCTGCTGCTGCTGCTGCTGCTGCTGCTGCTGCTGCTGCTGCTGCTGCTGCTGCTGCTGCTGCTGCTGCTGCTGCTGCTGCTGCTGCTGCTGCTGCTGCTGCTGCTGCTGCTGCTGCTGCTGCTGCTGCTGCTGAGGCTGAGGCTGAGGCTGATAAGCTGTGGGGAAATGAAAACTCACCTGCCACTATGCAATGTTATGCCACCAGGTTCATAAGGCGCCCGCCCGTGCATGGTAATACACATGTCGGCTGGTATCACCAAACCACATTGCTGCTTCGCCATTTAGCCCTCTGAGCCCCCCTCACAGCATCTCTTGCCTCCTGATCGCTGTTGTGGCCGTGCGCTTGCCACGAAACATGAGCACGGGCACGGGCATGGGTATGAGCATGGGCATCACGAAGCAGCGGCCACCAGAAGCACGGAGATAAGTCCAGCCTTCCTTTGGCGGCATCCCTTGTGTCGTTATCCCAGAACCTGCAGGTGGAGTGTTCATCGGAGGAGGGCGATCCCAGGGAGGTGATTCTGAGCGAGGCCAAGCGAGTGGCAGCCGACCTCATTGTCGTGGGCAGCCGAGGCCTGGGTGCAGTTGGCAGGTGCGTGCGTGCATTCGTGCGTTCTGCTTCTGCTTTCCCTGTGTTGACCCGTGTATCTCCAAAGCAGGTGCGTGCTGCGTGACTGGTGTAGCCCGCTCTCACTGCCCTGCCTCTTCATGGGCGCAGCGCAGCACGCCTGGTTCTTCTGAATCAGCAGAAGCGCAGGTGTCTCTGGGCGCCTGGTCGCACCAGATGTGTGGTGTGGTGACGAATATAGTTTTGAGAATCAGCAGCTAACCTGGCTCTGTCTGTGGTTCCACACCTGTGTCGCGTTGGTGGCCACCTGTTCTCTGCTTGCTGTGCTTGAGGCTGTGATTGCACACCTGTGTAATACTGCCGCAATCAGCTCTCCTGTGCATGTGTTGCTTCCAGCCATGCATGCTGGCAATGTTACTTTCACCGGTTTCCACTACCCATGGTTCTCTGGCTTTCGCCCCATTTTGCCTCGTACACAGGCGTGCATACTGCTTCCATCCGTTCATTCATATCACCACACAATCCTCTCCCCATCCTATGGCGCCAACATCATTCTTTCACTCACTCCCTCCCAAACTTGTGTACCCCAGGCTTTTTCTCGGGAGTGTGAGTGACTATCTTGTACACCACGCATCATGTCCCATCGTGGTCGTTCGATTGCCTCGTTAAACTAGAACAATGACAGTCTACGAATGAGTTTTAGTTTATGTTTTGTACTACGATTGTCACTTGAAAGCACCGTCATCGCCCCGATGGTAGATAGTGTTGAATTGAAGACATGTGTGACTTTAATATAGGTGTTTTCTTATAAGTTCCTTACCGGTAATAAGGGACTAAATTACCAGTACAAGTTAAGACGTTATATGTCTTATGTTCGAAACATTACAGTATGTTGTTGAACATAAACATAGCGTGTATGTTTTCGCCTGTGCGCGGAAGAATCTACCTTATGCACGCGATGACTCATATGTTTCTATATTCGAGTCGCATGTTGCGTGTGAGTCTTCCTCATGATGCAGCGAATCCAACAATCTTCATGTTGTCCCTGTTGAGATAATAATAGAGATTATAGTATATAGTTACTTAGGATGTAACAGTTAGGAGCGCGATTAGTCTCGTGACAATTCGTATGACGCAGCAGTAGAAGTACCCTTTAGGGGTGACGACTCGATAATGTCAAAATTATATATGCTATATTTTGTTAGGCTAGGTTGCTTAACTGAGCTACTCTAAAGTGAGTACAACATTGTTGATATGAGCACTGTTTGTCATTCGTATCAGTTCAGTTTCTGACATGGTCTCAATTAGGTCAGGATTCTAGCTTCCGCTCGTCTCGTCCCTCCGCCCTAGGCACGATTTGCCGCTTTTCCGCTTTGCCGCCCGTGCATTCGCCCTACAGCGCGCTCACTGCAGCTCGCCCTCACACTGGACCTCACGCTTGTTGCAGCTAGCGCGCGCCACAACTCGCGCTCACACAGCAGCACTTGCTCGCGCTACTCCTAGCGCGAGCGATGGCTTTATTCGCGCTTGCGCTGCCGCCGCCATTCACACTCACACTTCAGCCCCTCCCCACTACTGCCGCTTGCGCCGCACTGCTCCCGCTCGTGCCCTGCCTATTGGCCGTGCCCTGCCTACCGCCTTTAAGCCGCCCGTGCGCCGCCCGTGCCATACTAGCTGGCGCTCGTACCCCCGTTGCCCACCTGTCCTTTTCTACCGCCTGTTCTTGCAGTACCAGCATGCACGTTCCCCCTGCCACCATAACTCCATGCCCCTCATTGTAGTCACCTCGGCATCTCCCTCTGCCAAAGATTCTCCCACGGCCTCGGCCTCTCCCACCCCCTCTTCCTCTGCTGCCTCCTGCAGCTCCATACCCCTCAGCAGTCTTGTTGGTAGCACCACCTCGAGTGTGGCGCCTGCAGAAGCACTCTTACAGAATGCGTAGCCACCCAGGTGTCCAATGGTCCTGGTGAGTGTTGAGGGTAGGAATCAGGTTATCCCATGAGTTGTCCAGCACCGAGATGATCTTGGTGTACTGCTGCATCTGCGACACCTAGATGCCCACCGCCGTCATTCTCGCATGTGTGTTCTTGATCTTGTCAAGGATCGGCTTCACATCATCTCCTGGTTGCATGGACATAGCCGCCAACTCCTTCTCCAACACGATCACCATGGCAGCGTGTTGGGTTGAATGATGTCACGTAAAAGCTTCCACGCCTTTGCCCCAACATGTATTTGTTGGCCGATTGAAGTATGAGATCGAACAGCACCGCGCTCTTCTCAATCCACCAATCCTGAGCATCTCCTTCCTCGGGCATCTTCTCTCCTCCCATAGCCAATTTCAGCAGCTTGTGGCGCTTGTAGGCACTCCACATCCGCGCACTCCATTCCTCATAATTGGAGCTACCCAAAGCCTCTATCTTGGATGGTGGCGGCTCACTCCTCTTCTCAACTGCATCTCCACTCCCCTGATTCATATTCTCTTCGCCCAATCACAGGTTTCAGCTCCCCCTTTACTGTCCACACCAAAGACCCACAACATTTTCACAAGTGTCGACGACAACGAAACTTGGCGGAAGTCCCATCCAGCCTTGATATCCACTTAGGCACACCCACAGGCCATGGTGGATCTAGAAGGGTCGTGATACCTCAGTAGACTCTCCACAAAGTCCTCAATGAGCTCTGATACCACTGTTTAGAATCAAGGACGGAGTCTAGGATGTTTAGGGAGTAATATCTCAAAATCGTCAACTAAAACGCCGCCGCCGAAAAAGAAAACGCACTGTTAGAACTTCACCAATTTCGAAAATGTTATAGCTCTAGAACGTAACTACCATTTCCAATTTGAATCGTATCAAAAAGAAAACCTCGATATCTTAATTTCGGCGCACTGAGGAGTATGTTGTAGTTGAAACATAACGTAATTACAATTGTTCAACCAAGAACCACACCAGGAATTAGAGTAGCAAGAAACCAGATAAGAGAAGATGAGGTGAATGAGAAGGAAGGTCCCCAGGGAGTCCCCAACCAAGGAAACCTCATAAGCACACCAAATCTATAGGAACCCAACTTTCACATTTGTCTCTTTCCCAACCATGCAATCCACCCCACCCAACTTGGCCAAACTTGCCAACCTGGTTTGGCTTCTCCCAACCACTTGGCAGCAATTACAGTGAAGTGACAAATTTCTCAACCCCCAATGGTTTATACCCCACATAGGGTCACCCTACCAATTCTCATAGTTGCATCTTCATTTATTTTGCTCTATCTGCCGGTCCCAGCGTGCCCTTGCCTCGCTTACCCATCTGGGGTCCAGTGGGGTTCCGCCCGGGACTGACGTAAGCCGTCGTGCGTCTCCCATCTGAGATCCGGCATGCACGCACATGCACACACACACATGTGCATGCACGCACATGCACACACACACATGTGCATGCACGCACATGCACACACACACATGTGCATGCACGCACATGCACACACACACATGTGCATGCACGCACATGCACACACACACATGTGCATGCACGCACATGCACACACACACATGTGCATGCACGCACATGCACACACACACACATGTGCATGCACGCACATGCACACACGCACGCACATGCACACATGCATTCACATCCACATGCGCACACATACACACACATACACACATGCAGAGCAGAGAGTGGCCTGTGAGCCTGAGGGTGGTAACCATGAAGAGTAGTGCGTACTGAGCCAGGAGGAATGCGGATGAATCAACCTCAACCCCACCCCATCCGCACCCCATCCCACCTATCCCCACCGCAGGCCCTCCCCAAGCCCACCCCCTCATGCGCGCACCTCCTTGTCACGCCCCATGTCCCCAGGGCCGGCCACGTGCTCTGAGTGCAGCGCACACACCCGCACACGGCATGGCAGGGGCGAGCGCGGCAGCGCATGGCAGGGCTGGGGGGAGGACAGCAGGGCAGGGGGAGGAGCAAGGGTGGTGGTAGTCGCAGGGTGGCACGCACTGGAGCAGGCGTGTGGTTGCCCGTGGGGCGTGTGAGGACACTGGTGGATCGAGTTCAAAGGTTTTGCAGATGAGTTGAAGGGATGATGAGGTGCGTTGGAGGAGTGTGGTGCGGTGCAGCATGGCGGGCCGAGAATGCTGGTGGTGGTGCAGGGGGCGTTGCAGCAGTGGCACGTGGTGGCGGTGGGAGTGTTGAGGTGCAAGGCATAGCAGAGAGTCTCCAGCGCACGGGAGAGCGGCGACACTAGCAGCTGATGGGGCATGTGCAGGGCATGGGGAAGGAGACAGGCGGACAGGGGGGTGGGACGACAGGAGGACAGGAAGGAAGCAATGAGGATGAAGGAATAAGAAAGAGGGAGGGCATGGCAGAATGGTTAAAGGACCGATGATGGAAGGTTGGGAAGGGAACAAAGAAAGCTGAAGCCACATGTGGAGAACACTTATGGGTGGGGCCCCCCTACCCCCCTGTGTGTAGTGCTGCACACAGGGGCCATGGGCTGCCGTGCATGCAGTGTAGCCCGCGCCTCCTCCCACACACACATGCAGAGGTAGCAGAAGCGGGGCTCCCCTCACACACAGTGCCACAAGTCTTGACTCACACACAGTGATGGAAGACTCGCTTGAAGCAATAAAAGATTCGCATAAAGCAGGTAAAAGACTCACTATAGGGGATGAAACACTCACTATAATCGGACAAACTCTCATTAGTAAGCAGTGAATGACTAGTTACAAGCGATCGCAGACCCACTAACAGCAACGGCGGACTCACTAGCTGGGACTTTTGGGCGATGTGGATGAGCGTGGGGTGCAGATCCATAGCCTGATGTGGGGCAGGGGGGCGCGGCAGGGGAGGAGCAGACGGACGAGCGTGAGGCAGGAGGGCGCGTGATTAGCACGCTGATTGGAGCGAGGAAGGACGGACAGCCTGGATAGTGCGCTGGGTTCAGACATGCGGCAGAAAGCAAGCAACACAGCAGCGAGCAGCGCATAGGAGCAGTGAGCAGCGGGCATGGGATGGCAGGGCTGACCTGCTGTCTGCCGAGAGGGGAGAGCGGCACGTCATGGCCGCGGCGCAGGTGATGGCGGTACGCTTGACAGGGCAGCAGCGGGGGAGAGGTGTGGGGTGGCGCAGGGGGAGGAGAAGCAGAAGGGCAAGCAGAGGCGGAGCGGGAGAGGGGGAGGTGGGACGCGAGGGGTATGGGCGCGGATGGAAGGGGGGTGTGCGGGGGCGGAGCAGAGAAGGACGTGTGTGCGTGCCTGATGAGATAGATGACCTGCTGGGGATGTAGGCAGAGCGTGTGGACGGGCGCATGGATGGATGCATGGATGGAGGATTGGTGGGTGAGTGGGTGGGGCGCATAAGAGATTCATGTGTGGGAGAAGATGATGCGAGCATGGAGGATGATGACGAATGAGTGTGCATGCGGTGCATGAGTATGCATGCGGGGCATATGTGTGCATGTGCGTGCATGTGTGCACCTTGCGCTGTCGCCCTCCTCGTGAGAACACATCCCATGCCAGGCGCGCTGAGCGTGACGCTACTTCCATGCCTGCTTCATCTCTTCGCCCCATGCCTGCTTCATCTCTTCGCCCCATGCCTGCTTCCCCCACACATGCTTGCCCTCTGCATGCCTCCTCTGCGACATCTCGTCTCGCTGCTCCACCAAACCCACCCTCTCTAGCCCCTGCATCTCCTGCACCAGCATCCGCACCACCACCACAACCATCCTCTCTTTCGCCACCTCTGCTCTCCCCCTTCTCACAACGCCACCATCTATCCAGCCCTTTTCTCTGCCTCTTCCCTTCCCTCTCGCTCCCCTCCGATCCCCCCTCCAACCCCTTTTTCTCCTGCCGATTGACAGCATCTACCATCCCCACCCTCAACCCCAGCTCCCCTCCCTTTCCACTGCCCACCATCTTTTCCCCCGCCTCTCGCCCTTCTCTCCCCGCCTCTCCCCCTTCCCTCCCCGCCTCTCCCCTTTCTTTCCCCGCCTCTCCCCTTTCTCTCCCCACCTCTCCCCCTTCTTTCCCCGCCTCTCCCCATTCTCTCCCCACCTCTCCCCTTTCTTTCCCCGCCTCTCCCCTTTCTCTCCCCACCTCTCCACATTCTCTCCCCACCTCTCCACATTCTCTCCCCGCCTCTCCCCATTCTCTCCCCACATCTCGTCGTGCTCTCCCTGCCTCCCTCCTTTCCCCCCCCAACTCACCCCACCCTCCCCCCTCCTCCCTCCCCATTGCCCCACCTCCTGCCCTCCCTCCTGCCACCACGCCGCAACCGTCCTCCCCCACGCAAGCTCCTCCATGGGTGCTGTCCTCCCGCGCTGGTTCCGCACTCGCACATGGAAGGGCTTGCGTGGGGGAGGAGGGAGCAGAAGCGACAGCAGCACCAGCAGACGCAGCAGCAGCAGAAGAAGCGGAAATAGGAGCAGTTGCAGAGGCAGCAACAGGGGCAGCAGGAGTGGGAGCAGCAACAGCAGCAGCAGCGGAAGCAGCAGGGGCAGCGGCAGTGGCAGTGGCAGTGGGAGTGGCAGTGGGAGCAGCAGCAGCAGCGTCACCCAGGCAGGAGTCAACGTGCAGTGCAACAGTGCCGCGAGGCACGAAGCGCCAGCACACAGGGCACGCCACGAACCCGCTCCCCAACCTGCCTCCTCCTCCTTCGCCGCTGCCGCCGCCGCTGCCACTGCCGTTGCCGCTACGGCTGCCGCGCTCCCTCTTCTCCTCCGCACCCCGCGTCGTCGCCGCCCGCCCTGCTCTTCCGCCATCGACTCGCCCGCCAGCCCTACGCGCAACGCATCCCCGCGCACGTCCCGCGCCGCTCCCCCTGCTCATGCCCATACCACGGCCCGCGCCCGTGCCCACTGAGCGCTGCGCCAGAGCGCAAGGATTCTTTGCGTCCAGCCTGTTTCCCGTCCGCGCAGTCCGCGCCGTCACGCCGTCAATCCCTGTGCCCGGTATTCAGTCGGCCGCGGGGAGAAGAGCGCCATGCGCGCGTGGCGGAGAGGATCCAACCGCGCGATGCACGGAGCAAACGGAGTGTGCCGTCGTGCTGCGTTCTGGCCCCTCGCCGTTCTCGGTTGTGCATGCCGTGCCGTGTCAAACGTGCGAGTCTGAAGGAGTTGGAATAATATAAAATTCATACATATCTGTGTAAGAAACAGTTGCACATTCTTGATATTGGTCACTACATTAGGAATAGAGTCGTAGCATAACGGATGTTTCCTCGTCGCTAGTGAACTTCTCGCTTCTCGCTCTTCTTGACAATCAAAGTGTTACGAGTGCAATTGAGTGAACGAACGAGAATTGCACTATCGAAGCAAGAGTACAATGAGCGAAGGCATGAGCGAAGAATATATAGCGAAACTACAGTGGTAATGGTAATGGATTGTGGTTGTCGCGCGACGGGCCTGGGACTGAGGTTGGGAAAAAGTGTCGAAGCGGAGGCCCGGAGCGCGGGTTACCCGTCGAGCCGTGAGGTCGGGGTGCGACGTGCGAAGGTGGCGGGCGGATTGTCGATGCGAGGGTTGCGAGTGGTAACGGTGCTGACTGTGGTGCTACAGTGATGTACGCGTTGAGCAGGGATGCGAAGTAAGGAAAGGGGATTTTCCTTAGACTACCCCCCCCCCTAAGGAGGTCCTCTTTACGAAAGTGCGTGTACATCCCGGAAGTTTCGGCTGCGCAGATACTCGGTGAGGACGGGGTGGTTTTCGATTCTGTCCAGGGGAACCCAATTGTCTTCGGTGGGTGTACGGTCCTTCCAGCGGAGTAAGAACTCGATCCTTCGGGCTCCTCGAGGCTCGCGAACTCTGTGACTCAGGATTTTTTCGGGGGTGATGATTGGTTCAGTTGGTGGTCTTGTCATGCTGGCTGGGCGATTGCGTGCTAGTTGGCTTGTGGACGGGACGTAAGGGCGAAGCAGGCTGACGTGGAATGAGGGGCTGACGTACCAGTCAGCAGGGAGGAGGAGGTGGGCGGTGACGGGTGTAATCATGTGGCTTATGCGGAATGGCCAGCAGTATCGGGGGCGGAGTTTCGGGGTGATGGGCAGTCGGAGGTTCTGAGTGTCAAGTAAAACTAAGTCGTCGGGCTGGTAAGTGACAGGTCTGCGGTGGCGGTCGGCGTTGCGCTTAGCGATGATGTTCGATTTTTTTATTGCGTCTGCTGCCCGGGTCCGTGCCGCTTGTAATATTTCGGCGAACTGTTGTGCTCGTGGTACTGGGTTGTCGGGAATCGGGGTCATGGGTACTGTCGGGTCTTGTCCGTAGTTTAAGTAAAATGGTGACTGTTGGGTCGTGGCGGATGGCGAGTTGTTGTACGCGAATTCGATTAGTGGCAGCTGCTGTTCCCACGTGGTCGGGTCGTCACACGTGGCCCTGATGAGCTGTTCCATGGTCTGATTTGTCTGTTCTGTCTGTCCGTCGGTTTCGGGGTGGTATGATGAACTGAACTGCAGTCGCGTGCCGAACTGTTGCCACAGGTTCCGCCAGAAGTTGCTGGTGAATTTCGTGTCGCGGTCGCTGATGATCGCGGCTGGTATCCCGTGCAGTCGAACGACGGTGGAGATGAAGAGGCGTGCTGTTTCTTCGGCTGTGATTGATTTTTTGCAGGCTGCGAAATGTGCCATCTTCGTCAGTCGATCGACGACGACCAGGATCGCGTCGTTTCCATTCGCCCCGGCCGGTAACCCCGTGACGAAGTCCATCGTCACCTGCTGCCAAGCACGCTCTGGGGGTGGTATCGGCTGCAACTGTCCCGCCGGCCGCTGTCGTGATGATTTCATGAGCTGACAAGTGGGACACGATGCCACATGTCGTTGTACGTCGGTCAACATTTCGGGCCAGTAATAATACCGCTGCAACTGCTGCCGTGTTTTTTCTACTCCGAAATGCCCCGAGGTAACTCCGTCGTGTGCCTCCTGTAACAGTAATTCCCGTAGCAGTGTATACCCAGGTACCCAAATGCGGTCAGTCCCGGCTTTTACGTAATAGACTCCCCTTGCTGCTGCGAACTGCTGCGAATTTCCTCCTGTGAAGAATGGATCTGTTTGGTACCCGTGGGTAAATAGGCCTGTCAGTACTGGGCTTGTCTGGGCGAGTAGTATTGCGTGGATCTGAGCAGTGGGGCGGGTCAGTGCGTCGGCGATGTTCGAGGCTCCCTTTTTGTAAGTGACCGTGTAGTGAAAATTGGACTCGAGGAAATCGAGCCAGCGAATCTGTCGTGGGTTGAGGTTGTCAGAACATATATATAGCTTATGCTGTTGTGTAGGCTATAGTGGGGTATCCCATAGGGGGTACAACCCAATTAGGGTTTCCTATATGTACTCACTTCATTCATAGTTCATTCATTCTCGTTCTACTTTTCTCATGGTATCGAGCAGGTTCCCTCGTGGGAACTGTTCCTAGGGCCCACCGTTTTTTTTTTTTTTTTTTTTTTTTTTCCTGCCCGGAGCGCACTCTGCCCCTACCCGGGTCGCGCTCCCCTCTCTCTTGGCCCCTAGTGGCCCCTTTAGCCGCCCGTCACGGCCCTTAGCCGCCCGCGCGCCGCCCGTCCCGGCCCCTTAGACGCCCGCGCGCCGCCCGTCCCGGCCCCTAGACGCCAGTACGCCGCCCGGCCCGGCCCCTAGACGCCCGCGCGCCGCCCGTCCCGGCCCCTAGACGCCCGCGCGCCGCCCGTCCCGGCCCCTAGACGCCCGCGCGCCGCCAGTCCCGGCCCCTCGACGCCCGCGCGCCGCCCGTCCCGGCCCCTCGACGCCCGTGAGCCGCCCGTCCCGGCCCCTAGACGCCCGCGCGCCGCCCGTCCCGGCCCCTAGACGCCCGCGCGCCGCCCGTCCCGGCCCCTCGACGCCCACGCGCCGCCCGTCCCGGCCCCTAGACGCCCGCGCGCCACCCGGACCGACCTCTAGACGCCCGCGCGCCGCCCGTCCCGGCCCCTCGACGCCCGCGCGCCGCCCGTCCCGTCCCCTCGACGCCCGCGCGCCGCCCGTCCCGGCCCCACGCCGCCCTACCTGCGGCCCACTCACCGCCCTACCTGCGGCTCGCCCGCCGCCCTAACTGCGGCCTGCCCGCCGCCCCACTTGCGGCCCTACCGCCCCCCTACCTACGGCCCGACCGCCGCCCTACCTGCGGCCCAACCGCCGCCCTACCTGCGGGAGCCGCCTAGCAGCAGAACCGCCGGGAGCCGAGCCGCCCTGCCGCCGAGCCGCCCGGGAGCCGAGCCGCCCTGCCGCCGATTCGCCCGGGAGCCGAGCCGCCCTGCCGCCGAACCGCCCGGGAGCCGAGCCGCCCTGCCGCCGAGCCGCCCGGGCGCCGAGCTGCACTGCCGCCGAGCCGCTGAGCAGCCGAGCCGCCCTACTGCCGGGCCGCCCGACCTGCCCTGTCCGGTGAGCACAGCCCCACTGTCACTGCGTGCCCTTCCCCTACTGCTTGCACTGCTCGTCTGTCGTCGTCATGGCTACCCCTAGCGTCCTCGCTTTTGACGCTGAGGGTCGAGCCATTGACTTTGAGGTCTGGGTCGACGACCTGCAGCTGTTCTTACAGTGCGATAGGGCGGACGGTCTTTCCCTCTTTGACCTCACCTCTGGCGCCTCTCCTGCCCCTGCTACTGATGCTGACCCCACTGTTCGCTCTCAGTGGGCCACCCGCGATGCTGCTGCACGTCTTGCTGTGCGTCGCCACCTGCCTACCACTGAGCGCGCGCACTTTAGTCAGTACAAGAGTGCTCAGACCTTGTACGACGCTGTAGTTGCGCGCTACTCTTCCCCTGCCACTGCTGCCCTGAGCCGCCTCATGCTACCGTACCTCTTTCCTGACCTTGCTGCCTTTCCCACCGTCGCTGACCTCATTACGCACCTCCGCACTAGTGACACTCGCTACCGC